ATGTATATGTATATGTATATGTATATGTATGTATGTATGTATGTATGGTATTCAGCTTTGTTCAGGTATTTTCCCACGTCATTATAGTTGTGCTTTTAAAGTTGTAGCAACGTTTCGGCAGAATCTCACCTGCCATCATCAGGCTTCTGATATATACATATATACATACAATAATCAAGTCACACCCCCACTAGCAGTTAAAAGGAAGAAGCAGCTGCAAGCTCACATTACTCTGAGAAGCACAGAGCAGAAGACACAAGCCTGAAGATGATGAATGAGACTTCATCGAAACGTTGCCTAGATACTTCCAATCTTACGCGGGAGAAAACCCGAATAACCAAAGATCCATCCATCCATCCATACATATATATATACATGTATATTCCTGCAATGGTATGGGTAAAATGACTTACATCGTGCACAATTGTCAGTGGGAGGAACTTACCAAGGTGGCTCCCAAATTGTTGGGGGTCTGAGCCGCCGCAGCCCCTTCCCGCAAACGCAGATCAACTACTCCTCCTAAGGGAGGTTCTTTGCCCGGAAAATCGTTGTAGTATTGGTGGTCAGGAGGCGGCGGCTCTTCCTCTTCATCCCAAGCCGAGCCGTCGAACCCGGCCATCCTGGTCAGGAGAGAACCACATCAGGGACACAGACCGTGGTCCTCGATTTACAACCACAAACAGAACCCCAAATTTTATGTTGCTAAGCGAGACACTTTAGTGAATTTGGCCCGAGACCTGCCTTACCACAGTTATTAAGGGAATAAAAAAACTGTATTCCTCGACTTATAATGGAACCCCAAATTTAGTCCTTGACTTACGACCACAACGGAATCCAAAACTTATGTTGCTAAGCGAGACACCCAAGGGAATTTGGCCCAAGGCCTGTCTTACCACAGTTATTAAGTCAACTTAGGTAGTTCTCGACTTACGACAAGCATGGAAGCCAGAAATTTATGTGGCTAAGCGAGACCAGTTAAGCGAATTTGGCCTCACAGCCTTCCTTTCCACCGTTGTTAAGTGAAACCACCTCCGTTTTTAAGGTTGCTAAGTGAATCTGGCTCCCTCCCCATGGACTTGGCTTGTCCGACGGTCGCAAAAGGGGATTGTGTGACCTTCAGGGAATACTACGACCCCCGTCGTAAGTACAAGTTGCCAAGTGTCTCAATTTTTTATCACGGGGAAACTTCAAGCGGTCGTAAGTGTGGGAAATGGTCCCGAGTCCCTTTTTTTTTCAGTGCCGTTGTTTACTTTGAAACGGACACTAAATGAACTGTGATAAGCCAAGGAATACCTTCACGCACACCCACACACCCACAACAAAAAAAACAACCCCTCTGGGCAGCGAGTTCCAATCCTGCTTTGCCCTTACCTGTCATGCGGCGTGACGAGTTTAGGAGGGTTCTTGAGGTATTGCTTGAAGCGCAATTCGAACGCTTGTCCGATGGTGCTAATGACATCTTGCGACAATCCCTCGGGACACTCCAGGATGTGGCAAGCTGCAGAGAGAGACCCCAAAGAATGGCCTTGATTGATTGGTTATTGATCGATTAGTTCGATAACCCGTGCTCCGCTATGAAACTATGTGGTCGGGCTTAGTTTTTGGGGAGGAAAATAAGGGGGGGAAATTGGACCTCTGCCTCCTAGCATCCATCGGGATTCATCTGGCTAGCATCCTGTCAGTGTTGAGAGAGTTGAGGGCTGTTTGGAAACTGAAACAGCATTTGCTGTGTGAGCAAGAAGGAGACAGCAAGGAGCCTGGGCGGGGCTTAGCTCAACTGTTCTGTACTAAAGCTGCTTGGTGCTCTGAAACTAAAACTGAAACTCCTCTGCTTGTGTTTTGCATTTGGAAGAGATTTCTTTCCAGGTGGGGAGTATGAGTAGAACTCCTTAGCATCAGAGCGTGTTAATAATAATAATAATAATAATAATAATAATAATAATAATAATAATAATAATAATATAGGAAATATTGTAAATACTCCAAGGGTCATTTCAAAAAATCCTTTCTTAGTGAGCAATTTAAAGTTTGTATGCCTTACGGTGCATAGATAGATAGATAGATAGATAATTATTATTATGGATTATTTACATCGCGGGGGGGGCCTAATGGAGAAAAATCATTTCCCTCCCTTCACAAACTACACAAAGCCATCTTCGGCTTACGACGCCCAATTGAGCCCAAAATTGTCGTGGCTAAAGTGAAACACGGGCGGAAGTGAGTTTTGCCCCGTTTTACGGCCTTCCTCGCTATACAGTCGTTAAGCGAGTCACTTCAGGGGTTCAATTAGAAACACGGTTGTTAAAGAGAAATCTGGATTCCCCGTTGCCTCTGCTTGCCGGAAAGATCGCGACACCACAACAGTCATAAACCTGAATCAGTTCCCAATTTGAATCCTGTTGACTACGGGGATACCACAACCGTCATTAAGCGTGAACAATGGTCCTGGGTTCCCCCTTTTTTCCCCCCCAGCGCCGTTGTAACTTCAAACAGATTAAACAGGCTGCAGGAGAAGAAGCCAGGATTCAGCCAGGATTGGCAGATCCAAGCCAAGATGATGGGAGAAAAACCTACCTCTGTGATTGACGGGGTCTTTGGCAACGTAAGCGACGTATTCCGCCGTATCCTGCAAAAATAATGCCAAATAAGTTGATGGAAGACGGAGAAAGGGTTAAAAAAAAATGAAATAAAATTGCACACGGGTGTAAACCTTTGCACACCTTTTACAGAAAATAATACCCGGATTTATGTAAATAGCAGCCAACTTTGGCTGTGGAAATAAACAATTAAAATCTACTATTGCTGACTAACTGTAAGAGACCTTAAGAAAACGATTTGTAAATACGTAAAATATATAAGAATATAAGATCGAACCAATTATTGACCAAGATAATAGTTATTGATAGATGTATATTAATTGTATTAAGACTTGTAAGATCATAATAATTTGTACATGTCAAGATGCCGTTGAAAATGTGATTATGATTTGAGTTGCATTGGTGGGAAACACAATAAAAATCTATTATTTTTAAAAAATATATACTATTACTCACCGGATCCCCTCCGGAAGCGAACGAGATCGACTGCATGTGATGATTGGCAATGATCTACAAGTCGAAAGCAGGGATAACATTGAGCAGTTCAAAACAGCAAGGAAAACACAACATGGACATTCCTTAACTTACAACAGCTCGCTTAGTGACCGAAGTTACAACGGCCCTGAAATAAGGGACATAAGGGCCATTTTTTTCACACTTAATGACCATTGTAGGGTAAAAACACGGGATCCTCCCCACCCACAATCTCGGGATCCAAATTCAGACGCTCGGCAACTTAGCTCGTATTTATGACGGTCGCGGCCAGAGGGACGCCTTTGGCGTCAAGGGGAAGGGGGAAAAGCCGGATTCACTTAACGACCCTGTGACTCCCTTAAGAACATTCCTGACAAGAAATGTCGTCAAACGGGGCAAAACTCACACCGGATCTCGTACGGCAACGGACATTTACAAACTTTTTGTGAGGGGAAGATGAAACGGTTCGGGGCCCGGGGAGGTTCTTTTGTGACGGGCGATGCGCGTCACAAAACGAGACCTCGGTTAAAGGAAGCCAAGCAGGGGCCGGTGGAAAGGCGGAAGGGAGACGCTCACCTGTTTACAGTCGGACGCCATGAGGTTGAGGCTGTTGGTGGAAATGGTCAGTGTGATGGGCATGGCAGCGAACTTCAGGTTGGTCTTGCCCAGGATGGAGTTGAGCGCCCGGCCGCAGGGCTGCCAAAGGGAAAGAACAGAATTCAGGCAGGTCCTCGACTTACGGCCGCGAGGGAGCAACCCCCGGTATAGGTCGCTAAGCGGGGACATTGGCGAAGCGATTAGGAGCAATAAATTCAAGCCGCTCGGCAGGCGGCATGTTACAGGGGGTCCTCGGCTTACGACTGCAATGTGGGCCCCAAATTTAGGTCACTAAGTGGGACCCCTTGCAAATAAACTATGAATAAACTATTCAGGCTGCTCGGAAGCCGTCATGTACAACCCATTCGTTTAGTGACTGAGTCATAACTGCACTGAAAAATGGACCCTAGGAACCGTCCTCGTACTTATGACTGTTGCAGCCTCCCTACGGTCACGGGTTCAAAATTCAGGCACTCGGCAGCCAGGCATGTGTAAATAGTCCTCGACTTACGACCGCGATGGAGCAACCCCAGTTTAGGTTGCTAAGCGGGACACTGGCGAACCAATTAGGAATAAATTCAGCCCGCTCGGCAAGGGGCATTTTACAGGAGGTCCTCGACTTAGAATCACAATGGCCCCCCCACATTTAGGTCACTAAGTGGAACACTTGGCAAATAAACGAATGAAGTTTATTTTTATTTTATATTCAGGCTGCTCGGTAGCCATCATGTACGGGGGTCCTTCACTTATGACAACCAATTCGTTTAGTGACGGTGAGAATATGACCAAAATAAAACAACAGACTGTGACAATCGGAATCCGTAGAAGGCTTTTAATGGAAGAGATATTGCAATATCGGCCGCCAAACCTTCCAAACAACAGTTTAGGAGAAAAGAGACACCCCCCTTTTCCAGTCAATACAACCTTATATAGGATTATCCCATTTAAAAGATTGCATAACACTTCCTGTTTTTCACACGTAGAAGTTGGGAGGACATTGGAAGTTTTAAAACATAATTCAACAGTGCAAAGTTCAACCTGTGTCAATTTATCATGGGTTTTTGTATATTTAATCAGCCAAGGCCAACCCCTTAATGAATCTCAAACCAAGCCAAGGACATTATATTTTGCAATTCTACAGAACTTTAGCAGAATAATAAGTTAATAAGTTATATACTGTAAATGTTCTGATCTCTAGCAGGTCAGAATGATTAAGGACAAACATGGAGTCTTTCTCGCTCTTTATATTCTCAGGTGCCTAAGGTAAATTTTCACATATAACAGTGACCGAGTCATAACTGCACTGAAAAATGGGCCCTAGAGAACCGTCCTCGTACTTATGACCGTTGCAGCCTCCCTACGGTCACGGGTTCAAAATTTAGGCCCTCGGCAGCCAGGCACGTGTAAGTAGTCCTTGACTTGCAACCAGAGGTGAGCCCCAGATTTTATTGAGGCTAAGCGAGACAGAGAGGTTCAGTCAATGCTGTCTTACTTTACGACCGTTCCTGGCACGGTGGTTACGCGAATCACTGCAAGGGGTTAAGTTAAGTCACCCGGTTGTTAAATGAATCAGGCTTCCCGCCTGTTGACTTGGGTCGTCATAAGGTCGTAAAAGGGGGATTGTGTGACACACACACACACACACCAGGGACACTGTGATAGTCATAAATACGAGTCAGTTGCCAAGCGTCCGATTTCTGATCATGCGAGAGCGTGGGAAGGCTGGGGGAAAAAAAATCGCTTTTTTTCAACGCTGCAGCAACTTCGAACAGTCGCTCAACCGTCCTCTTTTAATAACGTCCCCCCATAATCCCTTGCATTGGGGGCGGAGCCTGGGCAACCGAGGTTTTTTTTTATTTTTTTACTGGCCGGATGCCTTTCCTGTCACCAGCGGGGAGTTTTGTTCTGCAAATAATACTCTCATCATGCCCAGAGAAAGAGTGGGGAGGGGGGTGGCTTAGAGGTTAGAGATCTCCTAACTGCATCCGTCCACTTACTTCCTGGTGGTTGGGGGGTGGGGGGCTTTCACACACACACACACACACACACCATGATTTTGGGATCGACTCACAGCGATCTTTTCTCCGATTCAAGGGATCGAGGAAGGGGGTCGTTTCCTGTTTCCGTTAATAGATTAGCAATTTTGGGGTGCTCTCGAATAGAGCGGAACAGGATAGCGAGAGTTGGAAAGGGACCTCGGAGGTCTTCTAGCCTGACCCCCCTGCCCAGAACACAGGATAGCGAGAGTTGGAAAGGGACCTCGGAGGTCTTCTAGTCTGACCCCCCTGCTGAAGGAGGTAAACCCGATCCCATGACAGACGAAGGGCCGTCCAATGTCGTCTTACCTTCCTCCGGCGAATGGCTCCCTTGGTGCTAGGCACAGCTTCACAAACCAGGCCTATAGCCTCCCTGCGGGAGAGGAAGAGGAGGAGGAGGAGGAGGAAGACAAGGAGGAAGAGGAAGGGGAGGAGGAGGAGGAGGAGGAGGAGGAAGAGGAAGGGGAGTAGGAGGAACAGGAAGAAAAGGAGGAGGAAGAGGAGGAGGAAGAGGAAAAAGAGGCGGAGGAAGACGAGGAGGAAGAAGAGGAGGAAGAGGAGGAAAGAGAGAAGGAAGAGGAGGAGGAAGAGGAAAAGGAAGGAGGAAGAAGAGGAGGAAGGAAGGAGAGGAGGAA